AAATAGTTTAGAGGGGCGCCTGGGTGGCTCAGTCAGTTAAGCATCTGACTTCAGCTCAGGTCATGACCTCATGGCTCATGGGTTCGAGCCCCGCATCGGGCTCTGTGCTGACAGCTTGGAGCCTGGAACCTGCTTCAGATTCTGTGTCTCCCTCTCTCTCTGCCCCTTCCCTGCTCGTGCTCTAGCTCTCACTCTCTCAAAATTAAACAAACATTAAAAGAAAAATTTAAATAGTCTTTAGAAACCTAGATGTGGAATTAATTATTCAGACAGATTTTAGGTCTGATTCGTAAGTAAGCAGTATGGCCCTGGCAATTTGATCTATATCACCTGCTTTTGTGACTATAGCCCTAGAAGACAAATATTAAGATCCTATTTTAAAGATGCAGAAATTGAGGCCGAGAGAGAGGCAGTGCCGGGACCAGGCTCACACGGGGAGCTCATGGCAGAAGGAAAGGGCTGGGGGGCAGAAGGGTGGACCAACTCTTAGGATAGAGCCTGACCTGGGCGGGGAAGCCTCGGTCTCACCTCCAGGCAAGGACCAGGGTGCAGTCAGCCAGGATGCACATCTTAGCCAGCTCCTTGAGGGCCTGCTGTGGATCTTTCTGGGTGGAAAAGAAAATCAGAATGGGAAATCTGGTGGTAAACAAGGAATTATAGTCTTGAAAACCACAGTAGATTATGCCACGGTAGGATGCCAAGAGCCTTCCACTTAACTGGCACTCCCTAGGCTCTGACTGGGTGCCCGCCTGTGCTGGGCAATGCTGGTAACACACAGTTACCAAGAGAGCCCGGGCTCTGCCCCCTGGGGCTCACAGTCTGATGAGGCAGATCAAACTGTCCCCATACAGTGATGACCCAGAGTGGCCAGGATTGGGATGGGAGAGCAGGAGAGGATACCTGGCCTGCCCAGGGAATCAGGGAGAGCTTCCTGGAAGAGGGGACATCTGAACTGAGACCTGAAGAAGGAGGAGGAGGAGGAGTGAAGGACACAAAGGAGAACGAAAAGGAAATTTTAAACATAGGGAAGACAGGAGGGGGGAAAAAGGACTTGAGGAATTGCAATTCACACGGAATGTGATGGAGAACGTAAAAGAAAGGGCGACCACATGGAAGCTGGGAAATGAACCCAGAGAGCAGGGCAGGGGTCTGGTCACATGGCCTCACGGGCCATAGTGAGGCACTGGGGAGCCATGGAGGGGTCTGGACATCAGATCTGTGCTTTAGGACCACCCCCCCCCCCCGCCGCCGGCTGCTGTGAGGATGGAAGCGGTTGGGGCTGGAGGCCCTGAGACGAGAGAAGAGGCTGGGGCAGAGACCCAGGCGGGCCAGGCTGTGAAGATAGGATGACATAGCTTCAAAACACGCTCAGGTGGCAGAGGGCTGGGACCAGCGGAAGTGGTGTGGGGAAGGAGGAGACAGGATTTTACCCTCGCGCCCCCTTGCCAACACAGGGTGTTAATGTCCGATGTAAAAATGGTTCAACTTGCACCTTCTCTTGGGATTCAACAATCCACTTGGCTGCTGCGAGGCCCGACAGATGAGGACCACGAGGCCGGGGGAGAAGTGACCCCTGCTTACCACGTCCACCTGGACGAGCAGGACCCGCAGGGCGAAGCTCTTCCCCAGGCTCTGCAGCCGCCCGTGGATGTAGTCCGGGTGGAGGTTGTGGTAGCGGAGGCTGGGGGGCAGGGGAGAGGGAGGGATTGGGAGGTCTCGCTCTCCCCGAGACCCTGGGAGCCCTTCTTTACTCTCACTGGAATGCAGAGGGCGCGGGCGACACCGGGACCTGAGGCTCAGAGAAGTTAAGTGACTTGCCTCAGGTCACCCATCAAGGAAGGCAATGGCGGGGTTGGCGGAAAGGGCTGCCTGGCTCTGGCTTCCCTGGAGGGATGGACCCCAGGTTCCTCACTGGGGAAGGGAAGAGACTTGGGCTTCGGGTAGAGGACAGGAGACAAGCGCCTAGAGGGTGTGGACTGGGGGACAAGGTGCAGCTGGTCTTGGGAAGCAGGCCTATCCCAGGAACTGTCTGCTTTAGCCTCGGAAGGCACTGGCAGGGAGGGGCTGGGTGGCTTCTCCACCCAGGGAACTAGGGGACATCTCTGTCCAGCAGCCACCAGCTCTCGTACCTTGCAGGGAGGACAGGAACTTAGAAGGTTCACTTCCCCCATCTAGCTCTGTGTGCAGAGGGGCGCCCGGGAATGGAGAGGGAACTTGCTTAACTGCGGTACAGGCTGGTGAAATCCTGGCTCCCATCAACTCACCCTGGATGTCTGGGACCTGAGGGACCCTACCCCCAACCTGCTCAGACCCAGGACTCCAGGCGCCCAGCCCGTCCTCCCTCAGAACCAGTGTCTGGGCCTGCCACTCTCGTCACTCTGGGCACCTTCGGGAGAAGACCTCTTCCTCCCCTCCAGGTCACTAGGCCCAGAGCTGACAGGGCCACACCCCAAGGTCTCCCACCCAATGGTCCCAAACATGGGAGCACAGCCTCGCAGGCCTTCAGGAAGGTGGGGCAGCCCCCTCAGAGCTCACCTGAGGAACAGGGCACAGGTGCTCTGGCCCAGCACATAGTCGGGAAGCACGTCACCAAACTCCCAGGGCACATTACGCACAAACTTCAGCACGGGGTTGCCCCTCTGGGGAGGGAAGGGCCGAAGCCATTAACAGGGAGGGCCCTGGGACCACTGCCAGCCCCAGGGCTCCCCTCCCCCTACCTGTGTCGACACCGCCCCATCCCCCATCCTGCCTGTGCCTGTTCCCCTCCCTCCAGAGTCCACCTCCTCAGCGGGGAATGCCCTTGGGTGCTCTGGCTTTGACCCAGACCTCTCCCCCAGACCTGGGCCTTAACTAAAGCGTCCCTGAGTCTATCTCTCCGGCTCAGTCCTCTCCCCCAGCCCCACGTGTGTGCCCTGGGGTTGCTGGGCACTCCCCCCAGGATGTCGGTCTCACTGCATCCCAAGTGCCTTCAGCACCAGCTCCCGCACCTGCCCCTCCTCCCCTCATCTCAGGGACAGGCCCATCATCCAGAGACCCAAGCCTAGTCACGGACACATCCCTCTCCTCCAGGGGGGACGTCTACCTTCCAGGATTTTTTTTTTTAAGTTTATTTACTTATTTTGAGAGAGAGAGAGTGAGAGAGAGAGGGAACTCCAAGCAGGCTCTGCACTGTCAGCGCAGAGCCTGACACAAGGCTCAATCTCACGGACTCTGAGATTGTGACCTGAGCCGAAAT